CATGCTAACTGCGTTATCAGTTGCAAAAAATGAATGTGTGGGTGTGTGTGTGTGTGTGTGTGTGTGTGTGTGTGTGTGTGTGTGTGTGTGTGTGTGTGTGTGTGTGTGTGTGTGTGTGTGTGGTGTGTGTGTGTGTGTGTGTGTGTGTGTGTGTGTGTGGTGTGTGTGTGTGTGGGGTGTGTGTGTGTGTGTGTGTGTGTGTGGTGTGTGTGTGGTGTGTGTGTGTGTGTGTGTGTGGTGTGTGTGTGTGTGGTGTGTGTGTGTGTGTGTGTGTGTGTGTGTGTGTGGTGCTCGTGGTGGTGTGTGTTGTGTGTGTGTGTGGTGTGGGTGTGGTGGGTGTGTGTGTTGTTTGTGTGTGTGTGTGTGTGTGTGTGTGTGTGTGTGGTGGTGTGGTGTGTGTGTGTGTGGTGTGTGTGTGTGTGTGGTGGGTGTGTGTGTGTGGTGTGTGTGTGTGGTGTGTGTGTGTGTGTGTGTGGTGGTGTGTGTGGTGTGTTGTGTGTGTGTGTGTGTGTGTGTGTGTGTGTGTGTGTGTGTGTGTGTGTGTGTGGTGTGTGTGTGTGTGTGTGTGTGTGTGTGTGTGTGTGTGTGTGTGTGTGTGTGTGTGTGTGTGTGTGTGTGTGTGTGTGTGTGTGTGTGTGTGTGGGTGTGTGTGTGTGTGTGTGTGTGTGTGTGTGTGTGTGTGTGTGTGTGTGTGTGTGTGTGTGTGTGTGTCCGTCCGCAAAATGAAGTGAGTGAGAAGGAAGCTCATGGGATAAACAAACCGCTAACAAATCGGGTAGCTTACAGGATTTGAGATATCAATGTTTTGTAGCAGGATAGTTGTGATAACACTCTTAGGGCTATATAAACACCTGCTTAGCACACTTCCGTTCATTCCACATGGTGCTGCAGTGGCAGCTGGAGGGCAGTGGAGAGAGGAAGGGAGGATGAGGAAGGGAAGCGAAAAATCTACCGTCATATCATGATTGTGTCCCTTCTACTGTTTGAAACACCATTGTGTTGCATACGCGTCACTTCCACGAGGTGTTGGTGTCACAGGAGGAAGGGACCATAGCGGAGGATAGAAAGCTTGCGCAGGAAAGGAAGGTCCCGGCGGTTGACGGGGGACTAATCTGGTTATATGTATATAACGTATCTAGTTTGTCGGTAATTGTAATCACCTGAACGACCAAAATTTATGGTAGCGATGGAACAGGAAATTATTTAATTGCACAGATAGATATGTTAAATATTCAGAGATCGTTTTCATCGTGAAATCCATACTGACAAGGGAAAAGTGAACTGGTCAGATCGGTCATTCAAAATGGGATTTTTGTTTAGATAAGCGCCTTAAGACACCGAATTCAAATCAGCTTTCCCATTTGCGAAACGATGTTCTAAAAGAATTTATGAAGTAGGGAAGCGCAGCGGTAGTGACCCTGACTCACAAGGAAGAGATCGTGGGATGGGTCCCACTGCAAATCCGTGCTTCAGCTCTTTTCAGAAAATATGTTAAAAGTCCTCAAGCTATACTCTCTTCAGAAAACAGAAGAGCGTCGGTGCAGACCATACACCACAAGTGACGACGGCCTCCACAAAATGTAAATGTTTTCTGCCAATGAAATGATTAGCCTGTTGCAGTTGTATTCTATCAGTTGTCACTAATTACAACTATCATTTACCAACTATCAGCTATCACTATGAATCACTAGTTACCAGATTTACTTGGAGGCCGTCGTCACTTGTGGTGTGTGGTCTGCACTCGACGCGCTTCTGGTTTCTGAAACAGAGGTATGTCCTGAGAAGAGTAAAAACACAGACTCGCACAGAAGTCGACCCCACGACCTCTCAATCTGTGACACAGAGTCACTAGCGCTGCTCTTCCGTACTTTATAACTCTTACAGGGGATCGTTCCACACATAAAGAAAGCTGCTTCGAATCCAGTATCTCGAGGCTCGCGTATAAGCACATATCCCATCCAAATGGCCGATGACCAGCTTAACTTCCCTTGAGAAGAGAGTTTCAAGGGAATAGCCGCTGTTGGACCGGATAGGTGCTGTCGACCGCAAAGCACCACGGGCAGGCACGTTGAGATGGAGTCTTGAACTCGTTTCCTGAATAAAGCCAAGGTTAGAAACCACGCGAAAAAGTTTTGAAGACGGAAACTCAAAAAATTTCCCTCAGATTCACAAGGTCATAGGTAATTGCGACATGCAACTCGGTAGATGATACTGTTTGCCCAACCCAAATATATCAGAAAACTATGGACGTCGCCAGTGAGGAATGAAAAAAGCAAAAGAAATTTATTCGACAAAACAAATCAGCGAACCGTGCACTAAGGAACTTTCCGTTGAAACAAAAAAACGTGTAAAAAACATGGAATATGCATGAAGACGCAGACATAACTGCAGAAGGCGGAGCTTGCGTGGGAGGCGTACTTTGCGGAAAGAGAGCCTTTGGCGCTCTTGCTGTGCACATTTGAGCCGCGACAAAATCGCGATTTCTCAATGCTTGTTCGACAGTCTACCACCATCCGAAAAGATCTCGATGAATTCATCTAATTGCGGAATGTGCCTTTCAAAGAACCATGTACCGAGAAGAACTCTGGAAGTTGTAATGTGGAAGCACTCTTACAGCCAGGCACCTACCTTGGTTGTAAAACTGATTACGGTAACCAGCACCTTGCGATTGATAGCCACCGATACTAACGATGGAACGGTTGTATTTTACAGAGGCTGAATTGTTCAAATAAAAAAAGGATTAATTTTCTGTGATTGATCGACATCGATTAATTTTTCAATTGAACCAAACTTCTCTCCATTTTTTTCACTTCACCCTCAAAGCTGGCCTGCTAGATGGAAGACCTCTGAAAAAATGAGCTACAACCACCTGCACCCTGGCCGTCAGAGTCGGGACCAGGGCCGACAATTGTTCGACTGGCTGTCGGTCCGACGTTCACACCCAGTAGTGTCCATCGGAGCTTCACAATATCATCAGCTGCTGATGCCCTTGAGCCGACGTCAACGCCAGCCCCCGCACGATCCCATTCAGCGATTCCTCCACTGTAATAACTCCGATATTAGTGGGACAATGGGATTTCGGAACGGAATGCCAGTGAAGGTGAGTGTTGCATGAACTTATTCAAGCGGAATCCTTTGAATACTTTGAGGCGATCGCCGAACTCGACAACACCATCTCGATCAGTCACATCGACCACGGCGCCTATATGATGGCCCACTTCTGTTTCATCCTCGATCATCGGCACATTCAGCGGTTTCAGAAGCCTGAAACCTTGTTACATAGAAAGCTTTGAATTTTTTCACTACTACAACTAAGAATGGCCTGCCATGTAATATTTTTGAAAAAAAAAGTGAAATTCTTTCCTCAACGCCTTTTAGCTAAAAAAAAAAACATCAATTTGGCAATAAAATATTATGATTCAATAATGGTATTAATTATTTCTCACGTGTGCCTTATGCAAATGTAATAAACTTATACTTATTATAAGTGCTGTAGGATTACTTTTCTAAAAGCGAGTGCACTAAAATCTACAAATTTCCGGCATTTTGAGTTACAAGGGCAGTATAATGAATTTTCCTTGTATAACCAGGGATGATGAATAATAAAAATAAAACTATGATGACAATGAGAAAGCCAGCACAATACTATTTACTTCAGCTTTCCATTACTACTGCTACTATTACTAGAATTCCCTCAGCAGAACTGCCCTATGTTTCCAACAATCAACACAAACTAATCTCGTCACCTCTGACGCCCATGTCACAAGGGCCCTCTGTATCAGAAAATGAACCGACCCGGCTTTTAGGAGCTTCATGCAGTTTCGTGGAATACGGCCAAGAAAATTCTTCGAAGCTGCCGCTCACTATTCAAAAATTATATTGAGACAACATCAATGGCTTCTTTTCAGACTAAAGGTAACCCCTGAGTCAGGATAGGAAGGTCTGGTGGGAAAGCAGCCCAGGACAAACGAAAACGATATTTCTGTTGCTATAGTGGAAATGACAAATTGTCGAATGGAGAGCGGATTTAGAAGAAATCGGGAAGCTGCAGCTGCTTGTAGGGTGCAGCCACGAGAGTGACCGTGAGCAGAATGGGCTGACCGTGCTTGAATTCTAAATTCCATAG